ATGATCACTTAATTAGATGTGCTTTTATTAGTGATCCCAGAAGCTTTGAAATGCCAGGAGCATCTTTTTCATGCCACAAATAGAGAGGAGTCTTTTCCTACCTCTCCGAAAGCTAATAAAAAAGGGAATTTTGTCAGCTGAATAAGAGCACAAGACTGCTATTTCATGCCTGGCAAAAACAAGTCACAGTGATGCAAAAGAAGACAGGAAAGAAATTTTCCTCTGCCAACCATGGAATACTAAAGTTCTGTCTGGTTTTATGAAGACTCAAGGACAGACCTCAAAACCTACCTGTCATCTCCTTTTTTTATAGCAATGTTTTTCCTGTTGATTCTAAATAAATTAATTTCAGCAACAGAGTGGCATGTGCTGGCTTCACAGTCCTGGGTGAGACCAATATGACGGCACTTCCCCACTGCACATTGGCTTTAAGCCTGCTCTGACAAATTCAAGAGGAACAGACATGCCAGACGGTTGCTATAGAAGTCCAGCGACACCTTAAAAACTTAGATTTATTGTGACAGAAGCTCTTGGGGTCTAGCATCTGACAAGGCGGGCCACAGTCCATGAAAGTTTCTGCCACAATCTATCTGTTAGACTCACACCATGCCCACCGTAAATAGAGTTACACCTTTCTAAGTCTATGACAGATCAAGATGGGTAACCGTGTTAGTCTGTCTGAAACAGTAGAAAAGAGCAAGAGTCCAGTAGCACCTTAAAGACTAACAAAATTGTGGTAGGGTATGAGCTTTTGTGAATCACTGCTCACTTCTTCAGATGATCTGAAGAAATGAGCGGTGATTCACGAAAGCTCACACCCTACCACAAATGTTGTTAGTCTTTAAAGTACTTCTGGACTCTTACTCTTACCTTCTAAGTCCATCAAAGCCAATGGGGTGAGAAAGGTGTAACTCTTTCAGGGTGGTGCTGTAAGGCTCCTTTTGGTGTGGTTGAGTGCATGGACTCTAATCTGGGAGAACCGGGTTTGATTCCCCACTCCTCCACTTGCAGCTGCTAGATGACCTTGGGCAAGCCGTAGTTCTGTCAGAGCTGTTTTCTCAAGGACAGTTCTGAAAAGAGCTCTCTCAGCCCCACCTACCTCACAAGGTGTCTGTTGTGGGGAGTGGAAGGGAAAGGAGTTTGTAAGCCACTCAGACTCCGAGTGAAGGGCGGGGTATAAATCCAATCTCTTCTTCTTTTGGTTAACCTTGCTGGGCCTGACAGTTTTTTTACATAATCAAAAGTCTGGCATGAGTATCCCAGCTTAGATCTGCCAGTTTCTTCTAGCAGAGGCAACTAAATCAATAGTTCCACCCGCTGAGACTGTTCAAGATGCATGCAAGATGCTTGCATTTGCACTCTGTGGTGCAGGTCATTCTAAAAAAACCTGTGAACAAAGGCAAGGAGATTGCTACAGCAAACTGTGGAAGAGATTTAAATGGTTCCTTGAATTCCACTGCAGGCATTTGAACTGCAAAGGGAAGAGACAGTATTAATTGGCCCCCTGACCAGCCACTGCAGGATGTTAAAGCTGGCCTATTAAAGCACCAACCAATAATTTATCTGCTTCATTTATACCTTCCCTTTCTCCCCAGTGGGGACCCACAGTGGCTTACATCATTTTATCCTCACAACAGCCTTATGGGGTAGGTTAGGCTGACAGTGTGTGACGAGCCCAAGGTCACCCAGCCAGCTTCCATGGCAGGGCGAGGATATGAACATGGGTCTCCTATATCCAAGTCTGGCACTTTAACTAGTACACCACACTGGCAATAACCCAATTAATTAAGCCCCCCAAGATCTATTGTGCACAATTACCATAAAGTTAATATTTGCTTGGTGTACTTGCTTTTTCTTGGCATAGAATTCACTTTAGAGACAACCTCTATGTATTTATTTACTTGGAGATTGCCTTTCCCTTAAGGAGGGTTCCCATACTATACAAACATACACCCATGAAATCCATTAAGATAAAACACACCGTGAAACCACACCCCATGTACCCATACAAAACAGTGTAGCCTACAAGAAAAGATCCAAGAATCAGCAGAAAACAGCACTGCCATGAGAGCTCACCTAAAGGAATCTTCACTTAGCAGTCTATCCTTTGGAAGTGGAGCCACCCCCAAGAAAACCCGATGAGAGGCTGCAAATTACCTAACCTAACAGTAGGTCAGGCAGCAGAAGTCATCGGGCAGAGCAGAAGGGGAAAAGCTGTTACAGTAAAAGGGAATCCTTATATAAGAGCCCATTTACAAACAAAGTTTTTGGTAAGTGAAAATGTTTGAATCAAATTTATTGATATGGTTTTGGAGAGGAAGAAGAGGAGATTGGATTTATACCCCACCCTTCCCTTGGAGTCTCAGTGTGGGTTACAATCCCCTTCCCCTCCCCACAACAGACACCCTGCAAGGTACGTGGGGCTGAGAGAGCTCTGAGAGAACTACTCTTGAGAGAACAGCTCTGAGAGAACTGTGGCTTGCCCAAAGTCACCCAGCAGCTGCATATGGAGGAGTGGGGAATCACACCTGGTCCTCCCAGATTAGAGTCCACACTCCTAACCTCTATACCAAACGGGCTCTCAATTAGAATGTACAGCAATGCCAAGCTATCGTCTTGGCCCCTGCAAAATTATTACACACTCTCCTCCCCCCCCAATCCTTTGCAAGTCAAATCAAAAGCAAGTCCTACTGAGGTCAAAGGGCTTTACTTCCAAGTAAGTATACAGAGTGGGAGCCAGTGTGGTGTAGTGGTTTGGTTACATGTCGAACTAGCATCTGGGAGGTTTTAAATTCCATTTCTGCCATGGAAGCTTACTGGGTGACCTTCGGCCAGTCACACTCTCAGCCTAACTACCTCACTGGGTTGTTGTGAGGATTAAATGGAGGAGAGGAGAATACTGTAAGTCGCTTTGGGTCTGCAAGCATTGGGCAGAAAGGTGGGGTACAAATAAGCTTGATTTGTCAAGCAACTTTTCTGCTGAAAATCAGTATGTACCCAATACCTGGGAGCATTTGGGAATTGCTGTTATTTGAAGGAATTCACATTACATAAAACTGAAAGCCATTCTGAAGCTCTGAAATTCCATCAAAATCACAGAACTGGAATTAAAAGCAAGCCCCCCCCCCCGCAGCCCGCAGAATTCTAAAGGAAACAAGGGGAGCGACTGGCATGTTAAGCAGGAATTCTTCAGCAACTGTTGTGTGGAAATACACACCTTCCTAAGGTGTTTTAGCAGCAATACACGCGATGGGGGCTGGTGCAGACCAACTGAAAACACACAGGAATTATGTCAGCAAGCCCATCAATGGCTTCTCTCCAGTCCCTTTTCCGAATTGCTTTCCCACGCTGTACCTGCTTGCAGGGGCGGAGACTGGGGTAACTGGCAAAATCAGGGCGAGGGACTCCCAGTGGAAACAAAACCAGGCGTGCTTGTTGTGTGCACGCTTTACCTGGGAGAAAGTCCCACTGAATTCCACGGGCTTTCCTTGGGATTGCATTGCAGAAAGGGATGGAAAGGGGGACAAACTTCTGGAGCTGGGGAGCTGGGAAAGTCCGCCCAATATCTGCATATTCCTTATGAAGCAGCCCAGGGGGGGATCTTGCCTAGTTGGCTTCCAGCAGGCCTGGCTTTGCCTCCAAGTCATCCTTAGAAGGTTTCCAAATCCAGGCGTAGGGTACTCTATGTGGGGCCTCGTGTTGGAAGTGAAGGCGCTGTCCCCTGTGGCAAGAGAGACTAGATAACTAGATACCTTTCCTTCCTGTGTTTACTCTTCTGCCACTGTCCCCTTTGAAGTGTAGATTGTGTTCTCAGGGACAATTTCCTTCCTTCCCTTCCCTCTCAGACAAAGCTGACCCTTCCCCCTGCACACACCCGACATGCTGTCCTCTCTTGCAACCATGAGGCAGATGGCCATCTCGCCATCTGCTCCCATCCTTAGTAAGTTAGTACTCTCTGCTCTTTCCTATCCAAAAATGTTAGGGTAAAGGTTCCCTTGCTCGAAAGCCAGTCGAATCCGACTCTTGGGTTGCGGTGCTCATCTCCGTTTCCAAGCCGAAGAGCCAGCGCTGTCCGAAGACGTTTCCGTGGTCATGTGGCCGGCATGACTAAACACCAAGGCGCAGGGAACACTGTTACCTTCCCACCGAAGTGGTACCTATTTATCTATTTCTTGTTTTCGAACTGCTAGGTTGGCAGGAGCTGGAACTAGAGACGGGAGCTCACTCCATCATGCGGCATCTCGGGTCTCGAACTGCTGTACTGACCTTCCACAGCCTGCAGTTCAGCGTCTTAACTACTTGAGCCACCGCAGCTTTCCTATCCAAAAGTGTACTCCTCAAATAAAGAGAACTATTTTTCTGTTAAACCTGCAACGTGGCTCTGTATAGCCCTGTAAGCTGGGTGACCTGGTAGTGACGCTGCTGCGTTTATAGCTTTATTTAAGCACTCTGCTAGCTGGACTAACCACACCAGTTCGCCCCAACACCTCCGCACACGATTGTCGGTTTCGCGGTATTTTGGATCACCTCGAAGGTTTTCCCCGGCGGATTTTTTTTTGCCGGAATTCAGCGAACGGCGCAAGAGGTTAACGGCGACAGGCGAGGCAGCGGCACATGTTTTCCACGCCGGAGGGAGCCAGTTCAAGCCCTGGCACGTGGAAGTGTGCGCGCTGCGGCCAAATATCCCCGCCCTGGAGAAAGCCCGAGCCCGAGTGCGCACCCAAGCCTGGCGTTGCAGGAGACGCTCGTGGCGGGAGCCCTGAACCCGTTCACCTCTCCGCCTGCGCCGCAGCCCTTCCCCTTGGCCTTCGGCCCGAATCAGAAGGGGTGTAGGGCGGGAGGTTTGGGCTGGAAGTCCCTGTGCCCGCCCCGTCGCGGCTTCCCCCGGGGCTCTCCTCCCCTCCCTTCCAATTGGCCCCGGAGGAAAGTCCGGCGCCCGGCCCGAATAGTATATATGCCTCGCTCCGAGCCCTCGACGGGAATTCAGCCGGGAGAGCGCGAAGCATCTCATTGCTTCGGCTCCAGGATCGCAGCGGCTGGATCTCTCCTTCAGCGCCCACCCAATTCGCCTGCGGTTATCTAGGGAGAGAGATCCCTTTACACGGTGTATCCCGAAGGCAATTTAGCCGGCCCCGCAGCTCAGATCTCTTCTAGCCGCGCCAGCTTCTTTGCTGCCAGGGAGGCGACTCGCAGAAGCCTCCCTAACAGATTCCCCGATCCTCCGAGACCTTCCCTTTCTGCAACTAGATCCTGCCTCTTCAGCTCCGAGCAGCGGGCGGAGGATTCCTAGTGGGATCCCTTTGAAGTCCCTTTTGGTCTCCTGGGAATTAGATTCCCTCCTCCCAAGAGCGCCCCCTTACGCGTCTTTCCGGCCTCCGCTGCAGTTTGCAATCGATCCTGCAGCCGGCTCTCCTCCTGGCCTTAGAGCCAGCCACGTGCAGCCGGCCCGATCCCACCCGTTGCCTGCTCTGCCCCACCGCCGCTCTGCCCCCGAAGCCATGGCCGCCTCCTTAAAGCGCGCCCCGCTGCTCGGCTCCCTGCTGAAGCGTCGGGGGAGCGCGCCGGCCGCTCTGCACCAGCAGCAGCTGCTGCCCACCTCGTCGGTGTCGGCCCTGCAGCCCAAGGTAGAGGCGCTCGCCTGCCCTTTCCACTCGCCCCACGCGCTCTCCGCCCTGCCCGGCCCGACCAAGTGGCCCCTGGTGGGCAGCCTCTTCGACATCCTGCGGAAGGGCGGCCTCAAGAAGCAGCACGAGACGCTGGTAAGTCGCCCCGCGGCCTCCCCCCCCCAGCCCAACTGCGCAAACAGGCCGTAGCAGCCATGGGAGGGGGGCTAAAAAAGGGAATTAGATAAGCATATGGAGCAGAGGTCCATCAGTGGCTATTAGCCACAAGGTATAGATAGGGGCTCTGGGGCAAGTGATGCTCTGTCATCTTGGTGCTTGGGGGGGGGGTCAACAGTGGGAGGGCTTCTAATGTCCTGGCCCCACTGGTGGACCTCCTGATGGCACTGGTATTTCTGGCCACTGTGTGATACAGAGTGTTGGACTGGATGGGCCTTTGGCCTGATCCAACATTGGCGTCTCTTATGTTCTTATGTAAATTGAGAGCCCATCAAGGGCTTTGCGTGCAGAAGGTCCCAGTTCCAATCCCCGGTGCTTTTAGGAAGAGGGTGCTGGGAAACGTGGGAGAGTCGAGTCGCTGCTGTGTGACCCAGGAGACTGCCTCAGCTGCTGCTCTCCTCTTATATGAAAGGTGAGCATTGGTGCTCCCGCAGGTGATGCTGCCGTTAGTTGGGCATCTCGATGCAGTACAGCATCTTCTGGGACTTTGGCAAGGCATCCTGGGGTGAACCTCTTCGAGTGTGCAGTGAGGTTGCTTGTGTTAATCAGGTTGTCTTGACATGGTCCTAGTGCCCAGATCGGCACTTTGGGTCCAATAGAAGGGTTATCGTCCCCTTCTGGGAGAGTTCCCCCCTCCACTTGGCTCAGCGGTAGAGCATTGGCTTGGCATGCAGAAGGTCCCAGGTTCAGTCCCCAGCATCTCCTGTTTAAAAGCTGGGGGGGGGGGGGGGGGGGCACAAGAGAATGTGAAAAAGACCTCTGCCAGAGACCCTGGAGAGCCTCTGCCAGTCTTGAGTAGATGGTACCGACTTTGATGGGCCGAGGGTCTGATCGAGGCGGCTTCGTTTGTGTCCTGCTGCAGGCTGATTACCACCACAAGTTTGGCAAGATCTTCCGCATGAAACTGGGCGCCTTTGACTCGGTGCACATCGGTGCGCCCTGCTTGCTCGAGGCTCTCTATAGAAAAGAAAGCACCTATCCGCAGCGCCTGGAGATCAAGCCCTGGAAAGCCTACCGGGACTACCGGGACGAGGGCTACGGACTGCTCATCCTGTGAGTGGGGCTGGGGCTGGGGCACCGCTGGGTTCTAAAGCCCACCTAGGGGAAGGAGCCCTTATTCTCTGGTGTTTGGAAGAAGGCACGCACCTTCTCTCCTTGAAGTCACTAGACATCACAAAATCCACTGTGGAGCGGGTTAGATTTGGTAGAAAAGAGCAAGAGTCCAAGCAGCACCTTAAAGACGAACAAAATCTGTGGCAGGGGATGAGCTTTTGTGAGTCGCTGCGCACTTCTTCAGGTACAGCAGGTGATTCCCAAAAGCTCATACCCTGCCAAAAACGTTGTCAGTTTTTAAAGTGCTACTGGACTCTTGCTCTTTTCTGCTGCTACAGACTAGCATGGCTACCCATCTAGATTAGATTTGGTTAGTTATTGCACCCCAAGTGATGCAAAGTGGTGGTAGAAAGTGCTGTCGAGTCCCAGCTGATTTATGGTGATCCCGTAGGGTTTTGAAAGCAAGAGATGAACAGAGGTGGTTTGCCATTGCCTGCCTCTGTATAGCCGCAAGCAACACCCACCAAGGCTAAGGGTTCCCTATTGTCTTTTGCCTCTATATAGTAACAGGTGGTCTCCCATCCAAGTAATCATCAGGGCAGATGTTGCTTAGCTACCAAGATCTGATGAGATCGGGCTAGCCTAGCCCATTCAGGTCAGGGCGCAAGTACAGAGCCTGGATTTCCCGTGCTTCTCAGTCCGCACTGATCAAGGCTGAATACTTAATGGATTTTAGGTGGTTTTCATGTGTGATGCCCATCTTTGAGCATCTCTCATTCTCTGCATGCCGTGACTGAATATTTTTTAAAATATACAACAGAAAAGAGATGCACGTTCTGGCCAGCAGAGGCTTTGCAAGACCTGTTTAAGCACCCAGTGCATTAAATCGTGTGTCGAACTATCATTGGTCTGCAATCCCGTTTGAAGACAAGAGCATGCCAAGCAGCTGTGTGTCAGCGCAGGCTGCTGATTTGGGATGGGTTACTAGTGAATGTTGCTTGTGAGTGTTAGAAAGCAGAAAATAATTTTAAATCGGATGGCTACTCTAGCCAATCTGGAGTTTACATTTTGGCACTAGATGCGAGGAATCCAAAGCATCCCCGTTTTGAGCATCTTGAGCAACTGTATTAAGGATTCAAGTGGGTAACTGCGTTGGTCTGAAGCAATTGAACAGAGGTTGGGTCTACTGACACCTTTAAGACCAACAAATTTTAGTTCTAGGAATAAGTGCTCGTGTGCATGCAGACTATCTGATGGAGCGTGCATGCACATGAAAGCTTATACTCAGAATTAAACTCTGCTGATCTTAAAAGGTGCCACTGGACTCCAGACTTTGTGTTAAGGACATACATGTTGGTTAAAAATGGGTTCCTTCTGATTTCTGTACTAATTTACAGCTATTGTGGCAAATGGGATTAAGACCATTTTTGTACTTGGATCCTGTCACTTGGTTGCAGCCCTAACAGCGATTGGAAGCTAATTAGGGTTGGTGCTTGAACTGGAGACCATCAAGGAAGACTCTGCGGAGGAAGGCAATGGCAAACCACCCCTGCTCATCTTTTGCCTGACAAATCCCATGAGGTTGAACGTATGGTTTGGTGTAGTGGTTAAGTGCGCGGAGTCTAATCTGGGAGAACCGGGTTTGATTCCCCACTCCTCCACTTGCACCTGGCTGGATGGCCTCCAGACTAGTTTGATCTTGTCAGTGATTGGAAGCTAATTAGGGTTGGTGCTTGAACTGGAGACCATCAGGGAAGACTCTGCGGAGGAAGGCAATGGCAAACCACCCCTCCTCATCTCTTGCCTGACAAATCCCATGAGGTTGAACTTAATGGGATCGACGTGAGTCGGTTGCAACTCAGTGGCACACTTTCCCTTACTACGTCACTTGTGAATGCTGTTGATGTGGAAGAGAAAGGCAGGAGATGAGTGTTTTTAGAACAAATGGCCATTTAGAGCGGCCGCTTGATTCAAAAGGACGTGCAAAATACAGAGGGAATGCAATACAGATTTAAGCATTTACAGTATGATGTTTTTGAATCTAAGATCGTTTTTTAAGCACATTGCTCAATCTAAGAGGTGCCCAAAATAAACTTTTTTGGAAAATATCAGGATTTACTTATAAGTAAATTTTACAGTAAGAATAGTTCAGCAGTGGAATTGGCTGGCTAGGGAGGTGGTGAGCTCCCCCTCCCTGGCAGTCTTTAAGCACCAGCTGGACAAACACTTGTCAGGGATGCTCTAGGCTGATCCTTCATTGAGCAGGGAGTTGGACTAGATGGCTGCTATAGCCCCTTCCAGCTCTATGATTCCATGTTTCTGAGTCCTACAAACATGTGTCTTGGCTAAAGGACACTTACAGTACCATAGCATTACACTCTTCTACACCCATTGTCTTCAGTGCACTTAGAACAGTGTAACTCTGCTCAGGATCATTCTGTTCATGTAATTCTTGACATTTAGCAGCCATTGGCATTGTCTGATGTTTCTCGTGAGTTTACCCAAAGTACTAACAGGAAACGTCCAGATCGAAAGAACCTCTGCAGATGAGTGTGATAAAAACTTGTTTAAAATGAGGATCTTCTTTGATTCTTGGCGTTTTTTATTTCATGCAGAGAAGGGAAAGACTGGCAGAGAGTAAGAAGTGCATTTCAGCAGAAATTAATGAAGCCCACAGAGATTGTGAAGCTGGATTCCAAAATCAACGAGGTACCAGATTGGGGTGGGGAGTTGTGTTTGATGTTATCCTCCAAATCAATGAAACATCAAGAAATCTTGTCATTTGAGACTAATCCAGACACAGATGCTACTGAAGACTTTGAAGAGTCTGGTTGTTATAAAGAACCTCTGCAGATGAGTGTGATAAAGACTTGTTTAAAATGAGGATCTCCTTTGATTCTTGGTGTTTTTTTATTTCGTGCAGAGAAGGGAAGGACTGGCAGAGAGTAAGAAGTGCCTTTCAGCAGAAATTAATGAAGCCCACAGAGATTGTGAAGCTGGATTCCAAAATCAACGAGGTACCAGATTGGGGTGGGGAGTTGTGTTTGATGTTATCCTCCAAATCAATGAAACATCAAGAAATCTTGTCATTTGAGACTAATCCAGACACAGATGCTACTGAAGACTTTGAAGAGTCTGGTTGTTATGTGTATTTTGACTGCTTGGTGAGGACAGTCAAGAAATTGACTGAAAAATAACAGTGTAGTAGAGTCCTCCTTGCACGGTTTCATTTCTGTCCTCCTAAAGGGAATGTATTTTTGAATGCTCCTGCGAATCTATCTTTTTTCCTTCAAGCTGAAAGTGGTTCTATAAGTGGGAAATTGGTATATTAGGCCTAGGGTAGTGTTTTCACTCTGATACGCTAGTTTTCTACATGTGGAGATTTTGTGTGTGTGCGGAGGAACATTAAAAAATGTGATTCTCCATCTTCAGCCTAAAATGGTAAAATAAAGGAAGGACTATACCACTTGATTTTGATGAATGTGTAACTCCACTTTAATAGAAATTGTACTTGTGTCCCTCCCTTTGGAAAGTCACTTTGAGAAGATTCCAACAATCATGGTATGTTTTATGAACACTGACTCTTACCATGACCAAGTGTCTGGACTCTGTCTCAACAAGTGGTGGCTATAGATTCTGTTGCTCATTGGACATGTTTAGGCATTCTAGTACTGTTATTCCACATGTCCATTGCAAATATCAGTACTCACTGAAGGGAAATAGCTGAATGTCTGAATCCACTAATGGAACTAAGTGACATATTTCTTTGCTCCCTTCTTCTAAAAACCATGTATTCCCCTTTCAAGCAAAAATTAAATTATCAAATGTTACCAGTTGCCCTGCTTATTGCTGTTACAACCAACCAAAAGAATACAAATTATTGTGGAAGCATTTGAGTTCTCCAGAATTCCTGGACAGTATTTCTGGCCCTGATCTCATGGCTGCACATCTGCATCCTGTGTTGAGTAGAACAGGTGGAGCAACCTTCTGAGAAGAAGAGGGGGGAAGTGGAAGCTGCCAGTTGAAAATATGAAAACCAATAGATGATCTGTTGAAAACCAATATATGGTCAAATGCCAAACAGAACAGGTCACTTAAAAGGCTGGAAGCGGAGGGACAGTGTGGTAGTTCTTAGGTCAACAAAGCTGGAGACTTAATTTTGAATGATGTTCTATGTAAATAGTCAATGAAAGTCAGATTAGGTAATATTACTTAATGATGGGGAAACAAGGAACCCCATAAGCATTGTGTCTTCCATTTGAAGAATCCCTCTCTTTGGTCCTTGATTATGGTACTTCCAAACAGACCAAGATTATATGTATACCTGTTCACATGAGGAATGGCTTCGCTTCAGATATTTAGCACCTACTCTTGTAAACCAGGGGCTAGATGCATTTATGAAATACCATTTCATAGGTTTCCCCACTGCTGACAGCTACACCACAGTTGGCAGTTTAGATAAAAACCCATATGGACATGAGGTGGGGCTAGTGAGTCAAAAATGATTTGGGAAACCTTGGAATATACAAATTTCTCAGATGAGGAAACTGAATTGTGTGTAAGTCTTTCTCTGAACTTTGGTGTTTCATGTGCTGAAAAATAACTCATTCTTGTGCTATAGAAAACTTTGCAATGCTTTTTTGAAAAATGAGCAGCTCGTACTTGTGATTTATAATAATATTTTTAACATTTCTTTCATAGGTTTTAGCAGATTTCATGGACCAAATAGACACACTCTGCAACAAGAATGGAGAAATAGAAGATTTGTATTCTGAACTGAACAAATGGTCATTTGAAAGTAAGTTTTCTCTTTAATTCGTAACTCTGGGTTAGATATGTTGTACTGTACACTTGATTCTTTTCTGATGTCCAACCTCTGGTTGTGACAGATTCTTTTCTATATGAAGGGGGAAAATGAAAGAACCTTCTAATGCTTAATAGATTAGGAATTGCCTCTTAGCAGTATAGTCTAGATCACTGATCTTCGATTGGTGGGTTAGGGCTTACAAATGGATCACACTTTGATCTAAATATGTGTGCATTTTTGGTCGCTTATATGCAACCTCTCCGGTAATATATGAAGATTGCCTCTTAGCAGTATAGTCTAGATCACTGATCTTCGATTGGTGGGTTAGGGCTTACAAATGGATCACACTTTGATCTAAATATGTGTGCATTTTTGGTCGCTTATATGCAACCTCTCCGGTAATATATGAAGCCAGCTAACAAATGAGAACAGAAAATAAAATATACTGGTTAAAGCAATGCATCAATGCAAAGCCATTGAAAACAATGCAGTCCTATGGACCCACTGTAATGACCTCATTGAATCTCCTGCTCCATATGTGGGGACCAGAATATTCTACCATTGTTTGGAGACGGGGGGAAGCTA